TTTAATGTTCATTGTAAAACAATTTTGCTTTGTTGACTCATTTTTCCTATTCTCTGCCTACTGTTCGGTATGTTATTTGTCCCTGTTTTTCCCTGTATTAATAGACCGTACTGCTTGTTTGTACACTACCGATGTTAATCTATATTTTAGAAACAGATAAAGTTTATCGAGCCAAATTGCTTACTTGTTATGGCTTTGGCTAAACCATGACTCTGTATTCGACAGTCTAGAGATTAGCTTAGAGTTGAATCTGTGGGAAATGACTTCCTATCCCCCCCAATGGAGCATAGGCCGCCGACTAGCATTCTCCAACTCACTCTGTCCTGGGCCTTCTGTTCTAGTTCCATCCAATTCTTGTTCATTTCTCTCATGTCTATCTCCGTTTCTTATAGTAATGTGTTCTTTGGTCTTCCTCCTTTCCTTTGACCTTCAGGATTCCATGTGAGGGCTTGTCTTGTGAAACAGTTGGATGCTTTCCTCAATGTGTGTCCTATCCACTTCCTGATTTATTACTCCACTGGGATCTGGTTTGTTCTCTCCCACAGTACGTTGTTGCTAGTAATGTCTGGCCAATGGATCCGAAGTATTTTACGTAGACAGCAGTTAATAAACACCTGTTTCTTCTGGATGATGGCCTTCGTAGTTCTTCAGGCTTCCGCCCCATACAGTAGAACTGTCTTGACATTTGTATTGAAAATCCTGACCTTGGTGTTGTTTGACAGTTGTTTTGAGTTCCAGATGTTCTTCAGTTGTAAATACGCCGCTCTAGCTTTTCAGATCCGCGCCTTCACATCTGCATCAGATCCACTGTGTTCATCAATGATGCTGCCCAAATATGTAAAGGTTTTCACATCTTCCAAATCTTCTCCATCAATTATGATGTGTCCGTAGACTATCCCTGTTACATGTGACCTTCCAATTGAAGGACATGATTATTCAATTATATTAGTGTGACCGCAACCTATATATTTATCATTATTTATTTCGATAAGACACGCAATACTGGTTGGTATAAATAGGTAAGTTTTATAGACAACTTGTTCTTGTCTTGGCCATAGCTTTCACAAAGACAACGGATCTTCAGTATCACATTTACAGTTCAGGTAGAATACATATAGGACAAATTAAATCCTACGAAGTTTCAAACAGTAATTCATCAGAAATTCATACACCGAATGTTGTCAAAGGTCTACAAAGGATCGTAAGAGTGATCGAATTCCTGAATTGTCTCCCCACTATCCAGAAATTCACAGTGATAACCAGTTTAGAGGAAGCGGCCACCGAATGAGTCTACTTGTTAGAGTTGGAATTAGCTAAGGTACGCTCAACTCAGACGGAGAAATTGGGCTGGAAAGATTGCATCAAAGGAGAAGAGAATATTGTAGTCAAGTTGTGGTCGATAGGGTAATGTCGTACGAGTCTACATCTGGTTCACGTGTAGTTGACATTTCTCCTGAAAAGGACTGGATAACAATGATTTCCAAGGCTTCAGACCTATCAAAGCGGGAGGACATAAAGTTTTATCGTAATCTCATCAACTATCGTGGTTTCATACGGAATTCCGAAGAACGTTTCTATGAAAGTGTCGGATCCTGATTCAGTTTAAACGATTTGATTCAGAATTATGATGAAGCTAAGGCTACTATTGTTCTATGTGCCTTGCTCAAACCAGGAGGGGGCTACCGTAAGGCATCAGAGCTTCCCGAGGAGGCGTTCGTCCAGAAGCTTATCGTAGCTTATACATTTATTGACAAGATTTTGATCATCCATTGTATTGAGAAAACTGACCCAGATAATTTAAGACGTCTGTTTCATGATATGCAGATTTTTGATCTAACGCTCAGGCAGATGAACCATATATCCGATCTAAATTCTACAAAGTCTATCGAGAGTGCTGAAGGTTACTGACCAGCAAGTATTCATGGTGAGGGTGATGAATTCAATTCACCCGTGTTTATGAGGTGGAACATTTTGTTTGTATCAGGTTGTTTATGATTGAGAACAAGTCAATCAATCTGTGATATTGAGGTTGTTCTCCTACGCTCACCATTGAGACTCACATTTTCAATTTTATGTTGGATTAGCTATTCTACTGAGACAACCTATAACATGCTAACTCGGCCTTTTACATTAAGACTGTGTGGCAGGCATCGAATGGAAAAAAATGAAAAAAGTCAGACAATAAAAGATATAGTTATTAGTTTGCTAAATACTCTACTCTCTTGATGCACTTTCCATTCTAATAGACAGCCTTCCTTATACTGGCGTCGAAATCCCTTTCATCGTTTGAACCTACTTCACCTTCATCATAACTCAGTGTTCTTTATTATTTTATTCTGTCATCTGAAGGCTCCAACCACAATTCACTCTGGCAACAAAAGCTAATATGAGTTTAATCTACTAATTTGTCATACCTCAATTTGTTCCACTGCAAAATGCTAAACACTGTTTATCGTTCATATCAAAGTGCCTTTCTGACCATTTGTTTCTCTTTTTTGAAAATCTTTCTCTGAGGGCACAGTTATGGAGCTTCTGACGCCTGGAACAAACTTTACATAAGCGTTTTCTCAAGGTCACAGATCTCATCTGGCGCTCTACAAGTCTACTTTATAGCATCTTTAAACTTAAAAAGTTGTATTGCATAAATTCTTGGCACGACCATGATTCCAACACAGCTATGCCGAACCTGGCTCTTGTGTGCACTGTGGGCGCAATGCTGCTTCGGAAAATATTCCAAAGATTGTACTCAGTGTAGTACTAATGCATAAACTGACTGACAAAAGCTCCAAGAAATCTGCACGAATGTACTTTATTTACTTATATTGATTTCAGCTAATTAACGACCGTACTTGAAAAGCATACTGTAAACAAGCTGTAATTCGTAGATTGTGCCTGCATAAATGGAGTGTACCTTCCCTGGCAGAAATATATTGCTATTAGCAGTAGTATGGTCAGTAAAATTACTGAAACCAATATACTGAAACATGTTGAAGGTGATAGAGATTTATTTTATTTTGTGGATGAAGTAAAAATACGGATATTATAAGTAAAATTATATTATCTCCAAACATAACATATTTCTTTGCAAATAATATATCAAAAGAAACCACTAGACAAATTTCAGAAAAGCGAAGATAGAGATATTGTGGAGATATGACTGACAAGCTTATTTTGTAAATAGTTTTTAGTATTATTTGTATTTATTTTGTCAATTTCTCACTGCATGTACATTTATCATTAAATGATTGTACCTGTTGTTCAAGAAAATAACCTTGAACACTTTTTCCGTTGTGCTACTACATAGCGTGACATATCGTTGCTGGTTAACAAATACACTGCTTCTCTCAACTTCCTCGTTCTGTTTTCATTCGAGATTGAGTTAACGAGATATAAAATAAATATTATTTACATTCATAGACTGTGAGAGCGAATACACCATATCTTACTTTGGATTACACCACTGGGGAGTTCATCGATACGTTTGGAATTACCAAGCATCTATAATTGTGGATTTATTGTAACAGATTAAAGCCGAACACGCATCATTTTGGGTGAACTTAAGTAAAGTCCCATTTTTATTGTATTTGTGACATTTAACTGATATATATTAATATTACTATTGCTTTTTATTAACTTTGTTGATACTTTTTGTGTTTATATATCCTCTGGTCCACCACACTTTCAATAGATAAAGTGAAGAAGCTTCTTCTCAGACGCCCGATAAATGTTTGCCTCATGTTTAACTACGGACTCTATGGACAAGTAGATGAAGAAGAGAAAGGACATCTAGATCTATAATTGAACACATTACAATGAATTTTTCTACCTCTTTTTAAATGACCTACCTAATCCATAATTTATATTTCTAAACACATTGAAGCTAAACTCCTTTTCAACCCAACAGCATGATTTCAGAAAAGATCACTTCTGTATAACCAATCTGCTGGCCGCGGTGAACAGATGGACGACCATCCTTAATCGCAAAGGGAAGGTAGACGTCATATACCTTGACTCCTCAAAAGCTTTCAATAGGGTCAACCGTACATGCCTTATTAATAAACTCAAACGATTAGGCACCAAATCATCACTAACTAATCGGCTTCATATCTAAGTAACCGACTTTTGAAGGTCAACGTAAACTCCACTTTTTCTCGTACCATGGATGGGATTCACCAAGGCTCAGTACTACGACCTCTTATTTTCTTAATTTATATAAAGGTCTTTTACAGCAAGTATCGCCAGATTTATTACTTTTCGCTAATGATATGAAGCTTTGGAGAGAAATTTACGACCAAGAGGATAATATGGAATTTGAGGAGGATCTGATTCAGACTCAAAGCTTGGCAAACAACGACGAACTTACCTTCAACACTTCAAAGGGTGAAGTAGTCCGTCTGAGACATGTTGCATCTCAAGCTGAAAATGATCTGAGTTTTGATACCATATTGTCGCAAGTCTCGCACCAGCTGCGACATGAATGTCTTCCGAGCAGGCCGTACACTGATACCGTTGAAGCGAATCTTTGGTCAGTTTGATGGAAGGATTTTCCACCTTATCCCCAACAGTTTTATTCGACCCCATTCAGAGTATGGAAACATAGTGTTTCCTCCCTCACTCCAAAAATTAGGGGACAAGCTGGAGTGTATCCAAAGGCGAGCCAGGAAATCAGTTTGGGGACATAATAAGTGAGGAATTATAACCATATATCCTGATGACTGATTACTGAGAACGATTTTCACTTCATTATTCTTTGTTTTAGGACAAATTGGCTTGGGCTAATGCAGTTGAATATAAACAGTATTGAATAGAAAGCCACCCAAAAACCTAAACTGTCCAATAACACTAGGACGCGAATCCAAAGAAATCATTTAGTTTACACTGGCTTGTCATAAATATATTGACTATTGGAAGGTCACGAAGGTTTCGTCCTTTGTTACATATTCAAACCGCCGCTACTATTGCCGAATCTTAGTCTCGGGCCCGTTCTAGTTTTGACTGTTGTCGAATAATTTCATTATTATATGTAAGTGCATTATGTCTGCTTACTGAGTTGTTCGGTCACTTTCCCTCCTAGTTTTCTAGTCCAGATTCTGATGTAACGTACATCAGTTACCTGGACGCAAACCTCCAAAGATGTGTAAGTTACACCTTAGTAACACATAGGAAGCCTTAGGTCTAGGCTTAACAGTGATGGTCAGCATTGTCGGAAGAAGTCAGTGCATTTTTCAGTAATTCTGCTCACTAAAAAGTAGCATTGAGATATAAAGTCGTAATTTTAATCACATCAATTCACTGTTAGCTGTGCACGAAAAGTATACGGCCGGCCGTGATCTGTACCTTAGTTAGTGGATGCTAGCTGAAGAGTCTTACCATCAGGAGCTTCACAAGAGACAACTTTAAGTCCACTCCTGTTCCTGATCTTTATTAATGACTTGTTGGATAAAATTAGCTCGTTGGCACTGATACAAACAAACGATGCAAAGATCTGGAGGTCCGTAGAAAGCGAAAAGGATTCAATATGGTTTCAAAAGGACCTTACAGCAATAGGGGAAAGGGTGTATACAGCAGGTTGATAGTTAACTTGTCGAAATGTCATGTCATAAACATCCTGCTTCACTTAACACAAAGCAATTACATCGTGCATGGGAATCCGCTCCCTGTTATCTCTTCAAAATGCGTCTTGGGGTTGAACTCACAGAACAGACATCATCTCAATATACATATGGGGCGCAGCTAAGGCAAACGCAACCCACATAATTGTCCCTAACTCTCTTTAAAGCGTACCCACGGCGCCAGTCTAGGGTCCCCATTGTTGTTGCTCTCATTTTAAAAGAGACAAATCTCTTGGACCGAGTACAGAGACGCGCAATCAAGTGGGTGATAAGATTAAGATATAAATCTTACAAAGACAAAGTCTAATACTCAGAGTTGTTACCTCTAAGCTATAGGAAAATAAGAGGTGATCTGATGATACACAATATATTAAGTGCGCCAAATCTCTCCAACCCGAGCATACTACCAGAAGATCACACTCTTCGAGGCAACCTTTGGAAGATTGCACATCAGGTACGCTCCCACTTTTTTCGTTGACAGTTGCCCTCAGTTAGAATGCTCCTCTAGCCGGTGACCACAGCCACTTCAGTGGATAAATTTTAGAAGATACTTGACAAACACGTACCCACCCATGGGTTACCAACTCCCTCTTGGACCACGGTTATCACTACTGCATAATCAGTAAATACTTCTTATCTCTCTTGTCATCATCTCATAATTTGGATTCCATGTCCTTACACATTATCAATTCAGTAAATTATTATTTATTCACTTTTTTATTTTTCACATTGCAACTAACCAACCTCCTGCCTGTTAATGTGATAGTTACTGGTACCTAGACACCCTACTGCTCTAAGACAAACGCACTTACTCAAATAACCAAATATACAAGTCCATAAGTAACTACCAAACTGACTAGAATCATTGTGATCGACTGGCTAAACTACCACCCATTGGACATAACTAAACACTTTGAACCGTACCGAAATAACAAGAAGCGAGCGCAAAAAAATCGACTGGTTTATACAAGCTCCTTACTAACACTTGAGTTATGAAAACATTTATGGGGAAAAATTTATAATTAATAAACAGTTCTAATACGAATAGCAAACGTTTGTGCATAAATTATTAGGGTTTCCATCATGAAATGACGTCAACTCTAATGAAATAATGAACTTCACTCCGAAACCTAGTTGGTGTGTCCATATACTTCACTTCTTCCAACAGATGGTTTGTGGCGCATTCGTCGTCGATCACCACTTTTTTTGAGTAACACGACTTGGCTATCAGCATTTTATTTTTCATTCTTACATTTGGGTCATTTTCATCAATGAAAGGCTGTCGGAAAAGGCTTTGCAACGATTGACTTAGTACAGCTGATATTTACTTGAATCACTACCCTCTTACAGAGGTATCAGGAAGTAGTGGGAGTTTTAATATCTCGTAGTCTGTACATATGTTATTCCTGACCAATTTATAAACACACGGACCAACATTCCGTTCTTTATTTCTTTATGGCTGTAAATTATGATCTATGAAAGTAGAAGACACGATTCAGCTGGTCTTTGACCACAGAAGTCTTCGAAGCAGTGCTTGCGTGCTGTGAAATGATCATATAGAGTTTAGGTACAGTGTAATAGGTAAAGGTGGCAAATCGGTTTGGGAGGTTATGAAGCCTTGTTGACTAAGGTGGTCGGTATACGTACATGTGCTTAACTATCGCCTACCTAGATGGGGAGAGTTAGGTTTTATAGTAGGCTGATAAAAATATAAAGGGGTCAACCCGAAACCTAGTATCAGTCCATGAAGTCATTGACTCTTGATCTGAGCCATGGTGGTAGATGCAGACTACCTGATTGAGATCTGTGCTATTAAATGACATGGCTCAGAATCGTTCACAATCGCGCATATGCATTTGCTTTACATTTCTCTAAACCTTTTTCATTCTCTCTTCTCGAACTCCATTCTCAGTACCTAGTCTTTCTGATTGCCATTTGTAGTAAATTATTTCGATCCACATCGCTATTCATCCTGCTATGCTAATGTGATATGGCAGCTTGAGCTGATATAGATTTGTGACAGACTACGTTGAATACAGATGATGGACTTTTCAGCAAAACAGTACCCTGATAAAAACTCAGATTCCCTTTACTTCCAACTAAACTCTTTCATGTATTTGAAACCCATTTTGAAATTACGAGTTTAAATATTACAGGTTGTAAGCAGCTGACGAGAGCCAAATTGAATAAGATGAATTCATGTTATCATGCTCAAATCTTCATTATCCTTTTATTCGTATAGTGCATCCTATTGATGCCCACTGCCCCGAAATTTGTTTACTGAATGGATTAAAACTATAATAAACTAAAATCAAAAAATAAACTTCTGGTCCAAAAGGATAAAAGAAAATATAGTGCACCCAACAAGTAGACACTACTGTTACAAGTGCTTTGATGTTACACTTTATAAAGTTGGACAGGCATTCAGGCGAACATTCTTGACAATAAGTACGCTATTTGTTGATTTCTTTTTACTGGAATCAGTCAATATTTTTGTATCTTGTCTGTTAGACTGAGGATTTTTTCCATTTTCTTTCAGCAAGCCCCTCAGTCTGCCGGCAACTTGCTCGTGATAAAATCCTATGTTCGCCTCATCGAGTTCCAAAAAACCCACTGGTTTGTTTGCTGGAATATCCAACGATTCTTGTGTAAACTTGTTCCAAGTTCCACTTACTACAAACAGTAATATTCCAGCCCCAGGACTTTTCGGCAACTTAAAAACCACGGAATTCAGGGCCAACATTAAAGAATCAGGGCCTAGTTCCTCATCAGCCCACACAATAGGGAAAAATAGTAATGTCTCAAAAACAGTTTTCCATTCTCCTCGAAGTGGTGATGGTTTTGAAAAAGATCGAAATGATCGTTGTGTAACTGACACCAGTATCAATGGCAATGCGCACAATAGCTGTAAGTTCATCCTTGTTTTTCGTCATCTACCACACTTCTCTTGTTTAGTTTGTAGTTTCGATTGAGTAGTTTGTTGATACATATCCAGTGTGTTCGAATGTTTACTACTGCCACCGATACTACTTCAGTCTTTATTCTTATAATTTAATCTTATTGTACTAATGCGTTGTAGTAACTTCGAGCAATATGTATATTCATTCTGTTTGAAGATCAATTACTGCTAAAAGTTGAGGTAGGGATATCAAATGTGCTTAGTGGTTAACATACTCAACGGTCAGTCAGTAGGCTGCAAATTTGAACCCCGCTTCACCTACTTTCATCTAGTCACTCGGTTAGTACTACTACCCCTCACAAAATCCCAATGCATGTATCTTGGGTTTTACTTTGCTTTTGACTGACTGGTAAATAAATTACAGTGCAGAAGTGTATAGGATTTATTGGGTCCTGGAGAAGGATTGCCTTTCAATCTCTTTTTATGACCTAGGTCAGAAAACTTATGCCAGCAACTTGTACATGATTGCAGTTTGTCATATAGCACTTGACTTTCGAAAGTAAATTCGTCTGTGTGAAATTACTTAAACTATTTAATCTGATGATAAAGTGGTTGATTGCTTAAATTATTTCAAGCACATCGATGGATGATCTTTTTCTGATGAACTCGTTACAAAATTTCAGCGTGAATATAAAATGGTGTCCATTCAAAAGGGCGAGTGGAAATGAATACACATTAATAAAGCCAACCATCAAAAGGCGAATATCAATAAAAGTGTGCATTGAAAGAGGGAATAACATTTTTAATAGTGTGAAATCTGTTCAATTTTCCCTTTGCTCCTCAGGCCTACGACCAATCAAAAAAGTGGTCTCTTAAACGTCTAATAAAGAGTCTACTTTCAACAAACTATATAACTCGTCGAATTTGGCAACAAATCGTTATTCTAATTACTCTGGTCACGTTATCTCGTAAGTCTATTTCAAACAGCTAGGGGGGTAGTCTATTTAGAAGGATGCCTCGAAAACGCTTGAAAAATGTTTCATAAATTTTACTTTGAGCAAGTTTTAAATTCTAAAAAACATATCTTTCTTCTAAAACTAAAAAGTCATATGCTATTCCACGTAGATAGTCTAGTGTCGACCTGTTTTTGTAATCTACAATCAATTCGATATGTACTGCTACTTCCTTATATTTTGTTTTCAAGTGTTGTTGATGGGCTCCTGAGACAGACTGTTCTATTTTTATTCTATTTAGTCTCTTCTCTTCTTTCAAAAAATCAATAAATTTCCATATATCACAAGTTGAAATCACGAGTCAATTGAAGCTAAACCACCATGGAAAACCTGGAAGCACTGGATCGCCGTTTCGTCCCGGTATGGGACTCCTCAGCAGTGCGCATCCACGACCCCGCACCTCGCGCGCGAACCCAGGTCCTGGGTTCGAATTCTGCGGGGTGCGGGGTCGTGGATGCGCACTGCTGAGGAGTCCCATACCGGGACGAAACGGCGATCCAGTGCTTCCAGGTTTTCCATGGTGGTTTAGCTTCAATTGACTCATGATTTCAACTTGTGAAATTTCTAAAAATCTCCACAAAACCCATTCTGATAATAAAATTTCCATATACTTGAATGAGCGGCGTCAATAAGTTGACTAAAACCTTTATGCCATTCCTCCACTACATTGTTCATTTTAGGAATGTCTTCTACAAAAGGGGGTTAGCAGAATATACTTCAAATCACTCAACGACAAGCGTTTCGCTTTAATTTTGATCAGGGCTTTCGTATGTTGGTACTACCATGTTCATGATTTCATTAAACTTCTTGGGTACAGTAAGAGTTTCCTATGTTTTAGGTCTAGTTTGGTTCTGCACTTGGCAAAATCTGTTTCGTCTGTTAGGTTTGGTGTGTTTTATATTAATTAATTAATAGTGGGAGTAAGATCGCTCTTCGTCTTTCTGAACTTAGATCACATGTAGTATCTGTTCTTTGCAGTGTAATTTTTGCAACGGCCTCTAAACTGAGATCAATGAAGTTACCCGTATTTTTCACCTCCGGACGGGTGCCTTGAGCTTGCTCAACCCCGTCCACGGGTCGGCCTCGTATATCATCGCACTAACTAATAGACTCTGAACTATCAGCTTACTTTTTAAAGCTTGGTGCGGATGGTTAATTATCTTCAGTCTTTGTAAAAGAGATCCTCAAACTTTTGGATAAGAACCTGTATTTAGTTTCTGAGTTATTCATGTACAAACAATTAAATTCTTGTTCACTATATTGCGGTTTAAATTCGACTAGATGGTACATTTCACTTAACATTACTATGTTAGGTCCATCGCTATACTGTGCCGTTGATTAATTGATATTGTTTGTTAACCTTTTTCCTATTGCAATCGAGTTTCTTATTTTTTATGTATTCTTCATTACAATCCTTCCATTTGTCAGACTTCGACCTTCCTGGATCTTCTAACAATGAAAAAAGGTGCTTAGATTCAAATAATATCCAGAATGCCGCTAACTTGTATTGGCCTGCAGTTAAATTATCCCGTTTGCCGATCGAATACAACACAAAGAGTTTTCTACTGAAGCACTTCCAAAGTTTTGGTCCTGTTGAACGAATTATATGTCAACCTTCTATGGATGCTGCTTATATAGCTTTTAATTCTTTGGTTAGTACTTATTCGGTTGGCAGCTACGTGTTTGCTTCATCTATTGAGTTATCTACATTAAGTTATCAGCGTAAAACAAAAGGAGCGTTATGGTTAACTAGTCTACTAGAATGCGTTATTGGTTGCTTGGATGGGGAGGATACCTAACTACAGTTCTAAACACAGCATACACACGTTCCAAATAATTCTAAGATTTTGGATCACCTTGAATACCCGCACTGATATAATTAACCAAACGTCTGATTCATACAATCACTGTTCAGACTCTGATCCACCGGTTTGGCCGTCAAAATGTTTGCGATTGTGTGTTGTGTGAATCTGTTCATTAAATTTGATAGCATATGACTCGCAGAAGAATGTATTTCGTTGTTACTGGTTGCGGTTAATGTCATCCGGCTACTAGTTACATTTCCGATCCAAAAATATAGTAATGTCTACACAATTGTATCTTAGTTGTTGATAAATGCTTGTTACTGCCTGTCAATAACAAAGTGTGTTGTAGACAAGTAAATCAACAAACACTAATACATAGTAATACTGGCAAATGGAAGTAAAATGTTAGTTATTCCGTTTTGGTTATGTAGTTTCTTTCTTTCCTCTACATTGTCAGCATATTTTTTAACCAAATTTTTATTCGTTCTCAATGTTTAAGTCTTCTGCAAATCAAGCTAAACGATCAGGACGTGCATGTATTGCATCTGCTAACATTGATTTGCCTAGCTCAGTCCTTTTTACCATGGCACGATGTCGTCGTCAAACTAATTCTGGATCGAAATCAATATCACCTAAATTAGGTCCTATCAGGGGTAGAAACACTGTGTCCTCCATATCCCCATCACGTACATCTCTGAAAAGAATGATTACATCACACTCTGTAAGCTTACTTTCAAATATATTTGCTTTCATTTTCTGTGATATTATTTTTCAATAACATGTAACAGCCAACTAATTCATATTTTTTATATATTAAATGACAGCCCATATTGGCAACAGTAGCCACACTGTTTTTTATGATCACTTAAGCTGTGAAGAATAATTCCTGACGTTTTTATTCCACCAACTGATTCATTTAGGCTTCGTTATAAAGAGAAGTGTAGCAATCGATTCTTTTATCCATAGACTTAATACTTACAAAAGACGAATTTGAGCACATAATATTTTTAGTAAGTCTAGTAAGTCCACTTTTAATTTGTACAGTCTTGAACCTCCCTCTGTTTCATCTGTTTCGATTTATTCAGCCGAGTAGTATTTCCCAACCCTAAGACGAAAATGCTAGAAATTGAAGCTTGATATATGATTCTGTCAACTGTTAATTATTTTAATTCCTATTCAGAGTTATCAATAGTTGTATGATAACCCAATAATTGATTGGAAGAACAACAATGCCTTCAACGCATATAGTACAATATTTGGCCATCGGTATTGACTACCTACTTATTAACTTGAAAGTGTTAGTCTTTAACATGCCTGTCTTTTTCAGTATATTTCCGATATGATGAGAAAACATTAAGGTTATTAATCAAGTTATTAGATAAAATCCTCTTTAAAAGTTCCGAATGTTGATTCATTTTAACGTTTTATAATTCGGTTTAGTGATACATTAGTCTTATTATTTATTTATCTATTTTAACACATAGATATTGGTACAAGGAGGCACCAAATACATATGCGCCACACAAATCTCATTCGATATGTGTGAGGGCTGTGATACTGCCCGGGTGCCGAAACCAAAGCAGGTGGTTTTCTTAGGGGGCCACTCCCCGAGCCTTCGACCTGAAGGTCTGACCCACAAGGCAGTGGAGCATCGTGAGGAGATGCAGTCCCATGGTAGCCGGTGACCAACGATTGGTTCATACGCCATTTGTTCCCGCACGATACTGGAGCCCATGTGTACCATTGGTTTGGGATCCGGGTAAAGCGCCAAACATTCGCTTTTCGTCCTCTCATTTTCGTAAACAACACCCCCGCCACGAGAAGGCAGTGAGTAGGACTTCCCTGGCAGAGGCTGTATATGCGTTGCCGTGTGAGAACATTTCAAGAGGGAGAGCGGGCTCTCACCACTCTCGGCCATACCAGGGCATTTGGGGGCTAAATTAACATAATTTAAAACGACACAGTAAGGAAAAGGCAGTTAAAGGAATAATATTTCACAAGTGATTACGTAAAGATGATACACACAAAACGATGAAATTTAGGATAAATACTAAATACTGAATTGTACCAAATTAAATACAAATCAAAGCACTTATAGGATCGATTCAGAATAAGGAATTAAAGTTATTTTCTACGTAAAATGATAGTTAATCATCAAATTTATGATTATTTTAATCAGAGAGAGGTTTTGTGGATATTATAGTAATTTGATTGTTGAATTCATGAGTCAATTGAAGCTAGACCACCATGGAAAACCTGGAAGCACTGGACGACCATTTCGTCGTGTTGTGGGATTCCTCAGCAGTGCGCATTTACGAAACGGCCGTCCAGTGCTTTCAGGTTTTCCATGGTGGTCTAGCTTCAATTGACTCATGAATTCAACAATTAAATTATGATTATTTATCATTTTTCTTCGGACTGATCGCGTAAAGGTGTTTATATGGTTGGTCAACATCATAAGTGACTACAGAACATGTGATGTAGGTAGTAGGATTGAGCTAAAAATGTCAAATGTTACTTTGTATTTCTTTTTAAAATATTTTTTTGGTAGAATACAAAGCAGGTCATGAATAAAAAGCAATTTTCCAGAGTATCTGTTTCAAGTGATAATCAGTCATCTCGTACATCGGTTATTATTGATAATCAATTATCATTTACGTCGTCCCAGATAGTATGCAATACACAACCAACAATATCCTCTATTACACGGCCAAATGCATTCGCCTATAATAATAATAGTCTATTCAATCAGAAATCTCCAAGTGCTACTACACTAGATGAACGACTGTCTGTATTACAAGAATATTATAAACGTGATTGTGAACTGAGGTCTATATCCAAATCTGCTGATCCAAAAGTTCAATGTTCGGATATATGCAACAGCAACACTGGTGAACCGATTCGTCATGCACCCATTAAAGGCACATGTGAAGATATGTGTCCTGAATTGGAACGTTATTGTCGAGCAGCTCATCAACGTGTATCTGTATGTTTTTTTTAATACTTTCGTAGTATGAACTTTATCCAAAGTGTATTTATCATTAGTTTGGGCACAACTTTCATATGAAACCTTGCTTCATATTTAATCTGTACAATTAGTTTCTGTAATCACCGTACTATAAATCTAGGTTGCAAAAGCAGATGGAAGTCCGCCATAAGCTCTGACTCGACTAGTAGTGTTCGAGTAAAGAGCCTTCACAAGGTTTATGTACATCTGAGGTACGCCTTTCAATGACAGACACTGCCACAGAATCTCGCGGTCTACGGAGTCAAATGCTGCTTTTAAGTCAAGAAAGACCACCACTGTCGGACGTCGATAAGTATGCCTGTGTTCTAGAACCTGGCGAATGGTGAATATGTGGTCGATGCATCCACAACTAGGTCTGAAGCCAGCCTGATTCGCTCGTGTTCGCAGTTCACGAGTCTTAGTTAGGCGTCCGATAATTATCGAGGCTAGTATTTTAGATACTATATTAGTCAAACTAATCCTTCTATGGTTGTCACAGGATGATTTTGACCCTCTCTTATATATTGGGACGATAAGCGATTGTGACCAGTCAGATGGGATAACGTCTAACTCCCAGATTTTACCTAAAATATTAGTCAACGTAATCGCTAAAATTGGACCATCCTTAATGACCTCTGGAGCCAATCCATCTGGACCAGCTGCCCTTCCTCGTTTCAGATTAACTATAGCCTTTTGAACTTCAGCTAGAGTTGGGAGACCTACTTCAATGTTCCATTCACACTGTCTGGGAATGGAGGGTAGTTGTAGAGTAGCTGAAGGCCAGCTGAACTGTTCTCTGAAATGTTCCGTCCATCGTTCTAAACGCCTGGACTGGGAGCAGATGAGTGTATCGTCTTTTTCCGAGATAGTGTCACTTAGTGCGTAGGTGTAGCACTAAGTTCAAAGGAAGTACAAGCTGTCGCAGATTGGATTCCAATAGGTTTTCACTTATGCGCTGTTTCATTAAATGGGGATGTAAGAACACGGAAAGAAATAGACATACAACGTTACCTCTTGGTTGTCTCTGCCCACGTTCGCACTGATATGAGTTCGGATAAAGTTTTAGAAAAGACTCTCTTCTACAAGAAGTCAAGCACTTAGACGTAATTGTAGCAGTGATTTTATCAGCCAAGTAGGTAGTTTGAAGTGAAATAAAAGACATTTAGATGGACCTTACTGTGTCCCAGCTCAACGAACAGATGACGACGAGCATCTGTCCAGACAACCGTTTATTCCTAAAAAGTATCAATTTTAAGCATAAGGAGAGACATCGTCCGACATGGCGACCAGTAGAATTAACTCAACGATAGCCTCAATTAAGACCATACTGTGATTAGTGATCGTTGGAGAGGCTCAATAGGAGACTGCTGCTCATTCTGTGGCACATGTCTAGACTCTGATCCTGCTCCAGTAAGAGAACGTGTTTGTTTGCGTCATACGAGACCCAGAAAATCTAGATCAAGAAGACCCCGAATAGTCCAGCTTTACTATGAAGTACAGAGGAAAGCAGTTAGTCAACCTCTAATGTGACACTTATCTCAATATGGATTAGCATAATATCCAGGCAGCTGGAGAAACATCATTAGATTTCAGTAGTGTTGTCATGACCTTGAATCCCTTTTACCCCGTCGATACTTTGTTATGACTTGACCTTGATCCTTCTAGTCTAGATTATGACCTTGGCGCGATATGCTGAGTGGCTTACCCTTGAGTCTAGCACGCGTGAGAGAGAGAACTATTCTAGAACCTGACTGGTTGGCAAGCACACAAGTGAGAGAAGACAAGACAGTTGGGACACTCTGAATTCTCTAAATTCGGATTAGTGCAAAAATGTACATGAATAAATAAGTGAATATACTGACCACAACGTACGATAATTCGGAAAAATACAATTATGCCCGAAATTGGGAATTAGGGTAGAAAATAAGATGCAAAATATTATGTTTAAATTACAATATTTTCGGAACAAAAAAAGGTATGGCAGTGAATGTTACATAGAACGAAGGCTCATGTTATGTAGAATAAAATAGGGACAAAAATAAATATGTGTTTTACAAGGTTTGAATGAAATGAAATAACGTCCCAAGAAAATAGCTTTCGTAGTTGTCTGGGCTTCTTATTTCCCCGTTCACAACAAGTGTTTATTCAGTTGATAGATGCTTGAAGTCTCATCCCCTGTGGCTCCGAACATGACTAGGGCCAAAAGCAGTCTAAACGTAGACTAGTAAAAAGCTTACGCAATGATTGTGAGTAGTGATGGGCAGTGAAAGCATCAGAGATGCAAAGGTAGCGGGAATAGGTAACAGCAAGTAACTGTTCAGATTTATCTAGAAAACAGATATTAAAAATCTGGCTCTTAGTGAGACTATTTCTGAAAAAAGACGAAACTATTATTTATTCTCAATCCAGGAGATTCAACAGATGAGCAAAACATTTTACAGAACAGTTCAACTGAACTTCAGACACACCTAATTTATCCACCATCTCCAACCAACCTGAATGGCGAACTGATGTAAGTCCTCCAACTCCTAGTGAGGTTGAAAAAGGCTTCAAACAATCTAAAACGGGGGGGGGCAACGTGGCTTGATGGACTAACTCCTCGTACATCACTTCTCCGAGTGAGATTCTTATGATTGTGTCATTCGGTAGCTCAAGATATCAGATATAGTCCAAGATAGGAGCCACTGACGATCCTTTCATAGTTTTCTTACATTCCTCACAAATCGTATAGAGTACTTTTGAAGTGAATGAAATCTATACTAATTACACCTTTTATTGTTTGTTTGCGTGTTTCTTTTTAACAGTTTTTTTCTATCTAATAACTTCATTTCGTTTGCGTGATGCATTCTCGGTACCCTGTGGTATCAGGCAACATTTTGTGTTATAAATGGGAAATACACTAAAATTACTTATATAATTTAATCAACAATAGTTTTCTGTGCATGTTATCTAAACGAAATAATATTATTAGATGTATTTATAGTGAATATAATTATTAATGACTTCGTTCAATATTGTCCCCAAATGCTCTGGTACGGCTGAGGGTGGGAAGAAGTAGCTACTTCTCGAAGTGCTCTCACATGGTCATGCATACACAACCACTGCCAGAAAAGTCCTACTCACTGCCTTCTCGTGGCATTACTGTTGCTTAAGAAATTCAGAGGATAGAAAGCGAATCTCCGGCTGATTAACCGAGTTGGTGGATATGGAGGATCCATCTAGTGGAGTTGGAAAACCTTGATTGCAAACCAATGGTGCACATGGACTGGCTCCAGTATCTGGAAGGAACAAATGGCGTGTGAACCAACTATTGGTGACCGACTACCATGGGACTGCATCTCCTAACCTGCCTTGTGGATTAGACCTTTAGGTCAAAGGCTTCGGGTGCGGTCCTATAAGAAAATCACCTGCTTTGGTTTGGGCACCCGGGCAGTATCATAGCCCACACAAATCAAGTGACTCGTATGGCGCATATGTATTCGGTGCCCCTTTATACCAATATTTATGTGTTCAAATAAATAAATGAATAAATAAATTCAATTTTATATGTTTAGTACAATATAGAATTCTCATTACATTTTTTGTACTACTGTTAACATTTTTTTGTCAAGTGTTTCATAAATTTTCATAATTTTTTCACTTAAAGATATTTGAGTGTTTACCTACTACAATGAGTGTTAATTCATCTTCTTGGGAGATGGATCATACTCGGGCTGTGAAAGATTATCAACGTTCTTCAGCCGATCAACCTGTACCATTACCCCGAGAACTACGACCGACATGTGTTTTGCAACGTACAATGGCTTATTTACTAGCCAGCATAGCTGATCGCCCAGAAATTGATACCAGTCGTAGCCTATGGAAACCTTGGTATGAATTTATGTGGACACGTACACGAGCTATTCGCAAAGATATACGGCAGCAAAACTTATGTTGTCCCATTGTTATTGGTGTTATTGAACGGATAGCAAGATTTCATATTTTCTGTGCTGCACGATTAGTTGATCAACCAGTGGATACTTTTGATCCTCGCATTAATTCAGAAAATTTAACTCAGTGTCTGCAAACATTAAAGGAGATGTACAGTGATTTAGATTCACCAATTACTTCTGAAAATATATGTCCTAATGAAGCAGAATTCCGAGGTTATATGCTGTTAATGAAACTGAACGACCAAAACGAGATCAAGTGAGTACAGTTTCTGTATTTAAGAGGTTTTAAAAGTCGTGAAAAGAATAGGGGATTTGTTAGTCAATGAGCATGCGTCTATAATACAATCTACATATGTTGTTTGGCGGTGAGTTATACCCCCCTTTGTTTTTTTCTTACTACTTCACTTAAATGTTGGTGTATCTAACTGGGAGATACTAAGAATAACGAAACTCCAATCTTTAATTCCACTAATAATCATCACTATCAGACTGAATTGATAGCCATTTTCAGCATTACCACGCTAGTATCTCATACGAAAACAGAAGTTGATCTCTTCATTTCAACCGTATCTATCGTCAAAGATTTAGCCCTAAAATTTCCTTTCAGTAATATCATTTATTAAAGCTGATGAAACATGTTCTTTAATCTCGCTGGTATTTACTTCATGGATATGTTCGGGACAACTTGTCACTTTGAAAAACCTCCGTATGTGTTTCTGTTTATCAGTATAATTGATTCTATGGAGCAAGTCGGTTATATATCAGTCTCACACAACCTACTTTTCTTAATGGCGATTTTAATGCGTTTTCCAAGAAAAGTTAGTAAAACAATAATCATCTAGATCGCTGAATATCTCGTCGATGGATTAAAATAAAAGATTTATCTATCTATGTATGCCTTTAGATAAAATGGATTATAGTGGTTGTGAATTCGTAACTTGCTCACAACGGAGACATAAGCTATTTACCAATTTAAATCGGAAATTTGTTTTAAAGTAATATATTGAATTTCTCTTTTCTTCATCATAGTTTCTAAATTGCTTTATTGGACTATAGACGTTATCATTTTGTTAATTTCTTCCCTTTTCTTTAATTTTTTCTAAGATGAATGACTAAATCTCATCCATTTTATTTAGTCATTAATTTTCATATTATCGTCATCATCATTGAGTGCCCGAAATGCCCTGGTACGGCTGAGGGTGGGGAGAGTTAGCTACCTCTCGAAGTGCTCTCACATGACCATGCATACACAACCACTGCCAGAAAAGTCCTACTCACTGCCTTCTCGTGGCATTACTGTTGCTTAAGAAATTCAGAGGATAGAAAGCGAATCTCCGGCTGATTAACCGAGTTGGTGGATATGGAGGATCCATCTAGTGGAGTTGGAAAACCTTGATTGCAAACCAATGGTGCACATGGGTTGGCTCCAGTATCTGGAAGGAACAAATGGCGTGTGAACCAACTATTGGTGACCGACTACCATGGGACTGCATCTCCTGACGTTGCTCCATCGCCCTGTGGATCAGACCTTTAAGTCGAAGGCTCAGGTTGTGGCCCTCTAAGAAAACCACCTGCTTCGGTTTCGGCATCCGAGTAGTATCACAGCTCATACACAAGTCACTTGACTTGTGTAGTGCATATGTATTCGGTGCCCCTTTTTATCAATATTTATTTCTTCAAATAAATAAAACTTCATCTTTGAGTAGGTTAGTGGATAATCTTGAAGAAACTGTACGTTCGATTTTCTAATGCATTTGTGACGATACTTGATCAATCTGCCTTTTATTAGTCTGCAGAAATCAGGTAATACTTATAGATGGGATTGTATGTTATATATGGCTTTATCTAAGGACATTTTTCTTCGTTGGGATGCTAATTTTTCTTGGTTAAAGGTTGCCTTGTTTCATAATTGTTTCAATCACCTTGATTCAGTGATTTTTTAATGGGCTCTTTAAAAATACCGGATAGTGACTTGTTTCTTTCACTTAGTTAATTCTTCCTCTATGACTTTGGTTTATTAAGCACATTTTTACCTTTGGTGTTTTTTTTATTATTTTATTTTAGTGAAGCTCAACGTTTACCTGAACGACTACGTCAATCTAAACCTGTACGATTTGCATTCGCTACACATGAAGCTCTCATAACAAACAATTATATCAGATTTTTCCGTTTAGCTCGTCAAGCTACATGTTTAGTTGCTTGTCTTATGCATAGATATTTTGTACAAATACGTAGTCAAGCTTTAACGAAACTGTCTTGTGCATTTGCTGGACATCCAAAACGAGAAGTACATGTGAGTATTGTTTCTTCGGTTATTCTGTTGATTTTCTAATCTTATTGAAATCAAACTCTTAAATTACATTGTCTTCCTATTCGTGTACTACAATCATTCTTCAAAGTGTTAGTTACAGTTAATGGAATTCTATACGATGAACTTGTGGGAATTAGATCAAATTATTAATTCACTTACTTCTGAAGTTGTTTTCCAATCAGTCACATAAGTATTCCCTGCTTCAGTTTGGGCACCCGGGTAGTATCCCAACCCTCACACAAATCGAATGATTTATGTGGCCCATATATATATGGTGCTTCCTTGCATCAATATCTATGTGTTTAAATAAATAAATACATAAGTATTCAGTTCATGGTCACCGTGTTGCAGTTTCAAATCTCAGTCTGATACATATATATTATAGTTTAAAACAAGGGAGTTTTGACCTGTGCATTCAGTGACTCAACCTCCAACTAGTAGATTATAATGCCTAATCCTATTCAACCTTCTGAAGCCCAGTCTTGCCTACTGTTAAGTAGCTTCCATGTAGTGTGATTTATGGACGAGAATATGGGTCTGATCGTAGTTGTTTATTTTCTACTTCTTTAGGTTTGAACAACTGTTTTGTTTGGTTAATAGTCCTTTATTTAACATGACCGGAGACGCAGTGCACAAAATTGATATGACTTAATATGTAATCTATGCAGAAATTGTTTCTTTTTATTCAAAAATGTATTGCATTGTCGTATTCTTCGTACTTGTCTATGGATAACATTTTCATGAGAATTTTGTTGAGAATATCCACTCCCTCACATCTATGTTAATTTGGTCTCGAACTCGTGATCTTGCGTTTAAAGGACTACTGATATTTATATCAGAAGGAGTTTCGTGGATATTACAGTAATTTTAATAGTTGGGATCATGAGTCAATTGAAACTAAACCACCATGGAAAACCTGGAAGCATTGGATGGTCGCTTCGTCCTAGTATGGAACTCAACAGTGAGCACCCACCATCCCGTCTCGTGGGATTCGAAGCCAGGACCTATCAGTTTCGCGCGCGAGCGTCTTGCTCCTAAACCACAGAGATGGCATTCAACGGTGGTAATGTCTAACTTCAACTAATCCACGAAATTGAGTGACACATCCACCATTGTCTTCAGTGAGTTACTCTCTCACAACTGACCCAGTTGAACTCCACTGGTCACTGTTTCTCACTAGAACTCCAGGATATCCCTCTTGAAGCCAGTCACTAGTGAGCATATGTTGATTAATATCAGAAGGGGTTTTGTGGATATTATAGTAATTTTAATAGTTAAGATCATGAGTCATTTGAAGCTAGACCACCATGGATTCAGATTTAACCTTAATCATTTCTTATATAGTAAACCACAAATGGTATACAAATCTTGTTTGTTGTCGCATAATTAGCATCGAGTTAGCTTGTTTAACAATTTTTTTTCGCTACAATCATCACTTTTAACCCACTGTTTATCTTAAATTTTCTTAAACAGTATCCTATTTCTACTCTGACACAACAACTCGGTTTTGAAAATGAAACAGAATCTAAACATTTCTGTGAAACATGGGGTTTATCAGTGTTTGGTTCAAATGTGATATTTGAAAAACAAATTCAACCTCAACCACCTACGTTACCATGGAGAGAACAGAGATCATTTCACGTACGCGCTATTTCTAATTAATTTTATCGTATATTTCTTTTTCTATTTGTTGTGCACTATATATTGATTTTTCTTGATATTCGTTTTCCCGTATTGCGTTTAGTAGTTAGATTTTATTTTTAGCCAACATAATTACAAGTAATCATTGATCTAACCACATTCAACTCCGTGGTATAATATTTTTAAATTGTTTTAGGATTGAATTTATTATTTGTGAGACAGCTCCTACCTTAATGTAGTTGTCAAGGTATCATAACTGTTGTGTTGAGCAATATTGACTGAAATATTTACTTCTTGAGGTCCAATCATTCTAGGTAGTTTAGTTTGAAAGCTGGTAAGATGAAGAACAGTGAATGTAAGATCTAAGGGTGAAGGCGTATCGTTGACTGTTCTGGTTTGTGGAGGCATTTTCTCACCAATAACCACCATTGTCTCTAGTGATACTGATCTTCCACAACGAAAAGTAGGGTTAAAAAAGGTCAACCTAAAAAATAACATGTGTCCTCCACAGAAGCATCAATGTACCTTATTCCCTGTTTAATACACTAGTTTTAACAATAGTTACACTACCTGTTTTGATTTTATGTCATTATGGATGACATCTTACAGTAGCTGGTCACGTACTCGGATATTCACTCATTCAATTGTTATGCTCAAATTATATGATTATGTTTGGTGCAGGACATTAAAAAGTAGTCATCTAAACTCCTTGATTAGTGATCCGTTGATGTTCGGGACATGTTTCTCTTCCCCCGAACACAAAACGTTACATCAGAACTGCTTTCGATAACGCCTTAGTTTCACCGTACATAAGGAAGTAGTTAAGGTAGGTGTTGGAATTCCTTGCGGAATTCCGCCTCGTTATGTGGACCAGTCGTTGCACAACTGACAGCCTGTTCTATCAGCCCTGATCTTGATCGGTCGTTGTTGACCGTTGTCCTGTCCTAAGTTCGACCTTCGATCACTAAGTCCTAAGTTCAGACCCTGGTCTGCTTTGGTTTGGGCAGCCGCGTAATGTCATTAGCTCGCACAATTGGAGTCTGGCTTTTACCTGAGAACCTAGTGAATAAGTTAGTTTTATAATAATTAATTAAAACTTATTTAAATTATGGATTTTGTGTCATCAATGACGCTTTTAATCCCAACAACTCCTAAAATTACTCGCGTTCAAATCTCATTCAGAAGAATGAAGACTTACTGTGGCACACCTAAAACACGAAAAACTGAAAATATTTAATGTTCTTCAAAAGAATGTCAATGTCATTAAGAAAAGTGTTTACCAAACTTGTCAACAAGATCTAAAGCAAATTCGGAAACGAACAAACAGATCATCCTACGATATTATAAAGGACATCAGAAATTGGGATAAGATTATTGAAGCCGTTTGAAAATAGCCTTAGCCCGTAAACCACCAAAATCACTTCAATCAAACTTATGCAAACCAAATGATTAAATTACAAAAGAAAGTCCAAAAATTATCTACAAAATTAATCCCTCCATCTATGCGTAACACTACATTGAACAAAGTATCCACAGTTTTCATTTCCAAATTCATAGATATTAACTAACTATCAAAGACCACGATGTGTCTTCGCACACAGTCAAAAAAAAGGAGAAACGTTCGACTGGGAAAATGTTAGAATCTTAAAGAGAATATTAAAATAGTCAGTGGATTTTTAGAAGCTTAACATACAAGCCAATTAGCAATTAATAAACATATAGAAATCAATCCAATTTATTAATCAGTAATTAGGTCAAAGAGGTTGACCATCCAAATAATTACAAGAGAAAGGTTAACAACAACAATAACCAATCAAGCTTGATGGAAATAGACTGTCAATTATGATGCAGAAATTTGAATAGCTTACTTCTATTTTAAATTTATGCTGTCGATATTACCCAGAAGGACTACGAAAAATTTATGATTAAACCACCAATCTCAAACAAAGGAACTCCATCTAAGTTATAATTCTTTCCTATCCTCTCGATTAAGTTATTCACAAAGTCTAATCATTGGCAGAATATTCTCAATGAGCTCAGATAAATACACTTCAACGGTTCAGTTTACATGTTTAACATAAAGTATTTGTGTAATTTGATTACTTGAGGTGTTTTATCACGTTATAAACCATTCAGATAACTTTCATAAATCGCATACTTGGTACACAAACGTGTATATAAAGCTATTCACTTGTAAAATGGATGTATAGAGTAACGTCTAGAACGTTTTACTAAAAGTACATTGATTATACATTCAGTAAAGAAATACGAATAAATTGATCCCTATTTATTTATTCTTTTATCCTATTTAATACAATTTTCTAGCTAGTTGAGAATAAGCGTATTGGTATCCCATTGTCTGTTTTATTCAATGGTTCTCCTGTTAATCCTTCAGATGCAATACCATCTCCTGTTCAGTCTTCGTTTGATACAAACGGTAAATATATTTGCTCACAAAGGAAACCTACTCAAAATGATAGTGATACACTTGATTATAGTAATCGTATTGCTGACAATAATGTTTGTAATAATAATTGGATCACTTCATATATGTATCAACAGCCTATAACAAATTCTTCATCATTATCAACAACCAATTCATCATTAACTGAAAGCAATACATCTAGCAAAAAACAAATATTTGATGAATTGTTAGAATTTATATATAATGAATGTGTTGATGAAGTTCTATGCTATTCAAAATTTGCTCAAACTATTCTACTTGAAGAGATAATAATTAGTGAATTAATCGAGAAGTTAATTAAAGATTTTATTGAAGATCATCTAATTGATGTATGTTTTGTTCATGTTTTCTTTTATTTTGATTATCATCAATTGTTTCCTTTTTTTTCTAGAATCATTGAGAAGTGGACTTAAGTAATTTAATGTTCACAAAAGATATATTCACATAGTACCAGTTATTTTATTGGAACTGAAAACCTTATAGATTTTCACTTTCTATCCCACTACGAAATGAATGTATTTACTGTGACGTATTAAATTGCTAGTCTATTCGTACCAGCATTTACCACTACGATGAATTGTTACACATCATTATAAACTCCCTATATTTTACTGCTATAGAACATATTCATCAATACATCCTTTTATATCTAATCTTGTCCCATCCTATTCCACAAATCTGTTACAAAATATTTTAGTCAATGTACGTTTCTGTTGTAATCCTAGAGTTTTCTTATATATTTCTTAATAGATTGTTAGATATGGTTCATCAATCAAAATTCAGATCATAATTATCTGCTCTCCAAATATGCTTTTTTAGTCTACAATTCATCATCCTTAACTTTGACTAATTACGCGCTTCGATCGACAACGGCTGGTGTTAAGCAATCATTATTTATTTGTATTTATTTGAAGACATAAATATTGGTAAAAAGGGGCACCCAATACATATGCACTACACAAGTCAAGTGACTTGTGTATGAGCTGTGATACTACTCGGATGCCGAAACCGAAGCAGGTGGTTTTCTTAGAGGGCCACAACCTGAGCCTTCGACTTAAAGGTCTGATCCACAGGGCGATGGAACAACGTCAGGAGATGCAGTCCCATGGTAGTCGGTCACCAATAGTTGGTTCACACGCCATTTGTTCCTTCCAGATACTGGAGCCAGCCCATGTGCACCATTGGTTTGCAATCAAGGTTTTCCAACTCCCCCAGATGGATCCTCCATATCCACCAACTCGGTTAATTAGCCGGACATTCGCTTTCTATCCTCTGAATTTCTTAAGCAACAGTAATGCCGCGAGAAGGCAGTGAGTAGGACTTTTCTGGCAGTGGTCGTGTATGCATGACCATGTGAGAGCACTTCGAGAGGTAGCTAACTCTCCCCACCCTCAGCCGTACCAGGGCGTTCGGGGGTAATTATGAGATAACATAAGAGGACTGTCGAATCAAAAACACCTTTTATTCTATCCTAATATTCAGTTTAACAATAAAACATAACACAAGCAAACTTTACATCGTCATATTTCAAGTACTTATATGTTTCTACAAGTGAATTTTCAGGCTGCGATGCACCTCAAATAAGATATCACAATTTGTATACAATCAGGACATAAGTGATAAAAAAATGGAAAAAGTGATAAATTGGTTAGCGACAGTTAAAGAATTGTATATAGTATAACAATGGTTAGTGAATCCAATGGGATTTTCAAACAAGAGGAATGTAGAAACATAACAAACCAGTTAGATGATAATTATATTATGAAAATATTCATATTAATAATTTGTAAAATAGTTCCTAAAAGCTACCTCAATAATCGTTCCTCTATAGCAATTTCATTAGTGATTCATTGTAAAATGACCATATCAACTTGCTAATACTGTCAAATGTTCCCAATTCGTTTATGTACGTTTTATATGGAGTATGCTTAAAGTATTGGCCTGAATATCGTATAAAAATCAGTTGTGTTGGTAATATAAATCACAGTCACTTTTCAACCAGTTAATTGAAGTGTTTCCAGATAACTGTCTCCGAATTGTTTTACTCTAAGTAATATCTGGATGTATATGTATATACTGCCAGGGAAGTCCTCACTGGCTTCTTGTGGCATTCCTGTTGTTTACGAAATTGAGACAAGGAAAAGTGGATGTCCGGCTGACTAGCCGGGTTGGTGAATATAAGGGATCCACCTAAGGAAGTTGGAAAACCCCTATCCCAAACCAATTGTGTACATGGGCTCCAGGATCATGAAGGAACAAATGGCGTGTGAACTTATTGTTGGTCACCGGTTAGTATGGGACTGAATTCCCTGACGTTGCTCCGCGGACTTATGGATTTGACCTTTAAGTCGAAGGCTCTGGGTGTGGCTTCCTAAGAAAACCACCTGCTTCAGTCTGGGTACCCATGCAGTATCACAGTTCACACATAAATCCAGTGACTTGTGTGGCGCTTATGTATTCGGTGCCCGCTTGTAACGATGTTTATGTTTTCAAATAAGTTAAAATATAGATTACTTTTGATGGATTTTTGTTCTCTGAGCTGGATGGTTCGGTCGTGGAGTTTTTATCGTTCTTCTGGACGACATCATCAGCACAAACTTCAGACTTCTATCTGAAGTTTGTGCTGATGATGTCGTCCAGAAAAACGATAAAAACTCCACGACCGAACCATCCAGCTCAGAGAACAAAACTCCATCAAACTCATCCACCTGAGCTACAAATCTTCTCCACCATCTCATATAGATTACTATTTATGTGACTATTAAAGATTTAGTTTTACTTTGATATATCCTGTGTTTCAAAAGGCTAATTCATTTCAGTATTTTGATCATTTTTATTTTATTTTATTAGCTTTTTAATAATAAATTAGATCCTGTTCGTCAAATATGTAAAGAAATCATGGAAAATGTAACGAATGAAACAATCAACTTAGATTTACGTGGTTTAGTTAATCGTGAATTGGATTTAGAATATCATTATGTAAGTTTATTTATTTATATTTTAAAAAAAACTCTTTCCTTAACCTTTAAAACACAGAAATTGTGAGATAACTAAATTTCTAACATTATTGTTTTATCAGAAGGGGTTTTGTGGAGATTTTAGCAATTTCAATATTTGCAATATTTCAATATTTACCGTCTAGTCGCATGCAAGCTGTGCGCTGTATCACACGATTCGCCAGATATGTGGAGGTTTTCATAATCCAGTAGACCACCAGAAGAAGGAGAAATGGGAGAATAATCAACCGTTGCTTGGAACCGGTCCTCACTTGGGATGCGTCTGTCAGCTATCCTCCATCCACGAATTTGTAGTGTAGTCCATCGTCAGAACTCTGCATGATGTTGACAGTTTTCTTAGGTACATCATAGTGTCGAAGAATGTTCTGTAAGACTCTTCCATCCACACTGTCGAACACCTCAGTCAATGAAGTTGATGTTTAGTGACGAGTTCCATTCAATTGATTGTTCAACGATGATCCGTAGTGTTGCGATTTGGTCTGTGCTCGACCGACACTTACGGATTCCGGTCTGTTGTTCGCATAGTTGGACGTCTACTGAATCTTTCGCCCGGTTCAGCAACACTATTGAAAACGTTTCCTAGTATCGATAGTAGCATGATGCCTCTGTAGTCCTCACATTTGCCCAGATCTCTTCTCTTTGGTATCTTGATGAGGTGCCATTCTTTCTAGTCTGTCGGTGGCATTTTTTCTTCCAAATCTTCCTGAATAGAACATGGATCATGTTTGCAATTACTTCTATGTTTGCCTTGAGTGCTTCAGCTGTTATATTGTCAGGTCGTGGTGCCTTGCCACACTTGATTTGTTTGATTGCCATGCTGATTTCTTCGATCGTTGGTGAGGTAACAGCTATAGGGTGGTATGTGTGTGTTGCTTCAATATCCGATGGATTGAATGGATATGGTCTATTCAAGAGTTCTTCGAAGTGTTCCACCAATCTGTTCCTACATTACTGAATTTCAGTGATTGGCTTGCTTTCTTTTTCCTTGACCGGTCGCTCTGGTTTACTTTATTTCCCTCCTAGTTTCTTCATCGTGTCATATGGTTGTTTCATATCCTTCTCTCACAGCTTTCCCCGCTGTCTTTGCTATCTCTCTCACATATTTCTACTTGTCAGCTCTAATTCTCTTCTTCGCTTGCTTATGCCTTGACTTTCTATGTTCTTTTTCTACTATTGTTAATTACTGCCTTCTTGTTCTTCCTTCCTTGAATCCTGCCTTAGGTTTCGATAGAAATCCATTCCTTATGATGATGCTTCTTGCGGTCCAGAACCTCCTGACACGTTGAAGTTAGTGTTTCTATGATCCATTCCCAGTTGTTTTCTATAGTAGATCCCTCTTTGAATGGATCTTGTAAGGCTTGGAATCTATCGTTGAGAGTTATATTGAATTAGTTAAGTTTGTCAGTATCTCGAAGGAAGGATTTATTAAACCTTTGTAATGCAAAGGTACATAGAAAGAATATAATATACCAGACAAGATTAAACTGAAAGATTTCTTGTAATATACTCGAATTAGTTTATTTGTATTCCTAATTCTTCATTTTCAATTTTTCATTATCTAACAGAATGAATATTTCAATCAATTAATCAATGAACAATTACATCAATTGGCAATGTCTTCTTTAACTTTATCCATTGCTACTTCATTATATAATTATTCATTATTAAAATGTTGCTTTAATCGTTTTCATTATTTGATATGGAAACGTAATGAATTAATGGAACAAGAAATTTTATTAAATACAATGCCAACATCAGTTAGTAGTGATTGTTTGCCATTATGCTTAATGATTAATAATAATAATAATAATAATCAAATGAATACTAATGAAAATGTATCTACTTTCAAATTGTTGAAACATTCAAGTTATTCACGAATTTCATTGGAAATGCTAAAAGTAAGTTGGGTTTCTTGTTGTTGTTGTCGTCAATTACTAAGATGTATTTACAAAATCTATACTGCTTTATTTATTTATTTATTTAAACACATAAACATTGGTACAAGGGGGTACCAAATAGATATGCGCTACATAAATCATTCGATTTGTGTGAGGGCTGTGATACTTCTCAACAACCCAAAACGAAGCAGGTGGTTTTCTTACGGGGCCACACCCCGAACCTTCAATCTAAAGGTCTAATCCACAAGGTAGTGGAGCAACGTCACGAGATGCAGTCCCATGGTAGCCGGCATTTGTTCCTTCAGGATACTGGATCTCATCTACACCATTGATTTCGGATGAGGGTTTTACAACTCCACTAGATCGACACTCCACGTCCATCAACCCGGTTAGAGCGTCAAACATTCGCTTTTCATATTCTCAATTTCGTAAACAATGCCCCCGTTGCGAGAAGGCAGTGAGTAGGAGTTCCCTGTCAGTGATTGTGTGCACGTGGCCATGTGAGAGCATTCCGAGAGGGAGAGCTAACTCTCCCCACCCTCGGCCGTACCAGGGCATTTGGAGTTTGAGTTCTAAACTGAAAGTTACATTTATCGAAAATGTAAAGTACATAAAATTGGTTTGAAATTATGAAAATCTAATATGTCGAACTATATGTCATGATGGAAAATTTAGTGGACAATGTAGTTAATTCGGTCTTTACATAGCGAATGTTTTAATTCTCTAGTATACAAATCTTTTCATAGTTCAAAATAAATTATGTCACATCATTTATTTTAAAATCTTTTATGACTTAATGTATGTAGCACCAATGTCTTACTTCGTATAAAATAAATGTTTACAAAAGCGTATACTTTATTACGATAACATCTACATCAAAGTCAGAAGAAATCTTAAAGCAGTCGCTATGACAGTCCATGAATTTGTAGATGAACACTAATTTACACTATTTTTCTTATTCTTAATTTTCGATTTCATCTACGATATGTGATTTACATGAATTTTGTTGTTTGATGTAAAAAAAAATATTACCACTTGGATTTCATCCATCCTTAGGCTGTCGTTCCATTTCCAAACTATGACATCTACTACAAACAATTCAACACCCATTATGTTTTTTTTTTGCTCTTCATATAATGTGTTGATTGTAACCCATTAGGCCGTTTTACTTGGTTATTGTACCATCATTTCACATCACATAATCGAACAGGAATACAATATTATTCACATGTCTTGTGTCACTTTGAAAGTTCATTTTTTGTCTTATGTTTTTATACTTCGTATAATATTAGTAAGGATTAGTAATCAGTATTGTGGTGTATGCTACTTATGCTGACGGATATAAGTAGTGTGTAGCATCAGTCGGAAGTGGGAATGCCTGGAAGCAGGAAGATACTGAAATGAAGAGAATAGGAAGAAAATCTAAGAACAATCGAAACAACAACAGAATTAGAGGAATAGTGAAGTATGTAAGGGACAACGCAAAGAAGATTTGCAAATGATGTATTTAATGTATGATTATCATATTTTACTAAGTTGCTGTATGATTTTTCATTGAAGTATGAATTAGATTTGAAGTTGTTTTTCATATTTTGCAAATGCTAATGATCATGATTGTTATGAACCCGTTGAAACAAGTTTCATATCAATCCTTTGTTCTTATATGTATTCTTCCTCTGTTCACTATTTTTAATTGTCAGACATTAAAAGTGTATATTCGTTTCGTATTTCAAGTAGACATCATACATCTGTAGTGGTGTTTCTTAAGGTGGATCATGAATTATTGTAAGTTTGTGCTTTGTTTCTTTATACCCTTCTTATTGGGGATGGTTGGAAGACAGTTAGGGTCGGCCAAACTAAAATGTGGTATCAGTACTTGAAGTCACTAACTTCTAGTCTGAGCCATGTTAGTAGATGCAAACTACTTGGTTGAGGTACGCGTGACTATCTTAACCAATAGTTGGAAACTCTGTGTGACATGGCTTAGAATCGATCACAATGGCGTAGGTGTATACACTCTTTTTCTTCCTCTAAACTATGAGATTAAAATTGCTTTATATCTTTCTTTCTACCAACTAATTCTTTCTTCCTGTACTATGTCCTCATATACAATCTTTCTTTTATATATTACCACCATTGAATTATGAATCCGGTGTTCATCTTGTTGTGCAAATGAGTGAGGTATGGCAAACTTCGACCGATGCATATATGTACCTAATTCTACGTTATAGTTGACTGACTGAGGTGTCTAAATCTGACTCATAATATTCATCATGTTTTTGGCTAATACTGTGAGAGAGAACAAACCAGATCCCAGCGGAGGAAGAAATCAGGAATAAGCGCTGGAAGTGGATAGGACACACATTGAGGAAAGCACCCAACTGCGTCACAAGACAAACCCTCACATGGAATCCTCAAGGCCAAAGGAAAAGAGGAAGACCAAAGAACACATTACTCCGGGAAATGGAAGTAGACATGAGAAAAATGAACAAGAATTGGATGGAACTAGAAAAGAAGGCCCAGGACAGAGTGGGTTGGAGAATGCTGGTCAGCGGCCTATGCTCCATTGGGAGTAACAGGCATAAGTAAGTAAGTAAGTTTTTGGCTAATAATTAAATGAATATTAAAAGCACATTTTATTTGATATTTTCATTTGTTTGTTCATTTATATTCTTATTATTTACTTGTTTTCTCTAGTTAGATAATGAACTTACTTGGTCTCCTTTGAAACTATCCCCAATATTCTATAAATATCCATTAGGATTATATAAATCTATGTTGATACCTACTAATTATTGTTCAAGTATTATACAACAACATTTTACAAATATTTTTTATTGGATTACTGAAAAATTAAAACATTCACCTATAATTCTATTAAATGAATGGTCAAATTCATCAATAATATTTAATAAATTATCAGGTATTATCATCATTGGTTACTTTGATCATTCAATCACTAAAGAACAATTAATGTCCATGTATTCAACTGATATAATGAATAACTATGATAAAGATATAATTAATCGTTTATTGATTTTAGTTGTAACTTATTCATTACAAGAAATTCCTTGTTTATCATCATCATCATCATCATTTGAAAATGTACAGAGTAATTATGACGATGATATCTATTTTGTACGTTTATGTAATCCTATTACATTTGGACAAAAAAAATTTCAACCTAGTCCATTTTGGTCAGTGAATTTACAGCATGGTCTTAATTGGATAGAAGAATGTTTTATGAAAAAAATTAATCATTTCAATCATAATGATCATTACACATTTCAAAATGGACATAATGCTAATGCAAAATATTCCTTGTTATCATCATCATCATCATCTCTATTGAATAGTGAAATTACCATCTTGTATACAAAGCTGTATAGTTTAATAAATGAATATATTGATATAGCATTATTACGTCCATTGGGTAATTTGTCTAAAAGTTGGAAGTTGCACGGGCTTGTTGATCCAGTAAGTAGATTACATGTGATGTAATTATTACATATATCATGCATTTAGCTAAACAAACTAAAAAATTTCATACACATAATAGTTCCCTTTATTATCTTAAATAGAGCAAGAATAAGGATTGGTGCAGAAATCTGATCGTAATATCATTATATCATCATTTCACTGAATATTTCGTAATACTGTCAGATGGTCTTTGGACTGCGGTATGGTTGAAATGAGATATTGGGTTGCGATATCAACTAGCTGAGATTTAAACCAGCCTTTCTTCTCTTCACTAACTGGGTGCCTTTCTTTAATTTGATCAAATAAATTCTCAAATTGAGTTTCTGTGTCGATTCTGTCGGCATGTATTTTTGGGATATGAAATTTAAATCCAAGCGGCAAAGCTTCTGACTTAACTTCACTATTGATAGATTATAAAGAAATTTTTCGGGGTTTTCCGGAAAACCAAAGTATAAGTGTTCCTTTGACAAAGTTCTTGCATATTTCGATTTGCAGACCGTGGACAAAGTTGATAAATTTTATGCGACATACGATACTTAGATCGTTGACTAATTCATCAAAGGCATTAGTTTCTGCCCTCAAACGTTCAGCCAGTAACTTTGTTGATTCTATGTGAGATTTTGTGATGCGCCGAAGAAATGTTTCGAATAATAGTAATGTATTTAATTGAAACAATCATAAATTGTTATTATGACTCTTACTGTCCCAATCAACATAGTTGTTTAAAGTAGTAATGTCCAAGCAGGTACTACCTTCAAAAAATGAAGCCAAAGAATTTTGGCTTGAGTTGGTAAATACCTTACAATGTTAAAAACGGAAATAATATTCTCGAAATATCACTATAAAAAATGTCACATGTAGTAGGCAAAAATTTGTGGTCAGATTGTGATAAAATAACCCTTTAAAATATGTTAGTTTATGTATCCTTCGTAGAGTGTGTGCTCTTTCTGATAGTCACCCATTTGAACATTATGGAAAGGTAAGATCTCGTATTAAAAAATGGTTATTTCTAACTGATAGGCGCTCATACTAGGTCATATATTGAACTATCTGACTATTATGTCCACTTCCGATTGAAACAGCCCTCATATCTTGCTAGATAAATAATCGTATGGTTTATTTAAGTTTCTTTAAATAATAAATTGTTGGGCAATGAATATCAGTCTTTAAGAAAAAACAATCTCCAAACCGCTTGATAATGTTACGTTTCACGGTTATGTTAAATTGTGCTAGTGGACAGAGAATAAATACGTCTGTAATGCGAAAGTGTTCAAGACTTGGGGATGCTCAAAGAGTGGAAAGATTATTGTGATTGATTGCTTTTTAGTCATCTTCCTGGATGCTTCGGAAAATTTGTTTCTAACTTCTTAAAGATGTCAGTAATCAAGAGTTTTAAAAATATGAAGCTTTAATGACTAATTGACATAATTTGTTGTCTACAAGGAATTAGTCTTACTGAAATTATTCTTTTTTCTAAAAGAAATCTTATTACGACAACATTCCAGTCATATCAACTGCCTATTCTTACAGTTTGACACCACTCCTATTATTTCCAAATTATTCACAGTACGGTGACAGCTATTTTTAACGTACTACTACGTCGATAGCTGATGCTTACATTTACTGTCCAAATATTAACAAAGATATTGAAGGAAATGCCAAAAATGTGCACAGTTATCAAAATTACCCGTCAAAACGGAACCAAAACTGTCCACGGGAATATCAGAACTTTCGACTCACCTCCATGTATATTTCCCTGAATTAATCTAAGAAAATAAGTTTCATGTTGTTCGTGATTCATTTTCAAATTTCCTTAAAGTTTTCTTTTAATGGACACGATTTTCACGTACATTATGGTGTAATGTCTTGAAATCATAATTGATTATTGCCCTGAAGAAGTCGAGACACCTTTGTTAGATGAAACGTTGGAATTATTTAAATTTCAATCGTTGAAATGACTTCCGTATATTCGGCGCTTAATTTTTTTTGAAACTATTCGTTCTAATATTGACGAATATTCGTATAATTCATGATGAATTGTTTTAGAATACCACATACTTCAATAAAACAGTTTATTTTCAACCAGTTTGAAGCATCCCTTTGAAAAATCAATATTAAACTTGTTAGGGCTTCACCATTCCATCTCCAGTCATGTTGTTGATATTGACACGAATGAGAAGAATGAACATTTATTTAGTGACAAAAGTTTATTTAAACAGAATTTACCCATTGAGACATAAAATAAGAAGGTTCATTTAACACTATCATTAGATTAACAGATTATCTTACACTACTTAGTGTATATTGATTAATCACTCTAATCTAAATAAACTAACTGATCAATCAACAACTTATTGTAGAACACTATTCTACTAATATCTTATAAGTAAAAATGCCACAACCAATAAATATAATTGATTTATATTATAAATCAATGGATATTAGACCACCATTGAAAACCTGAAAGTACTGGACAGCCATTTCGTCCTAGTAGATATTCATGGTCTCGCACACATGATCCGAACCCAGGACCCTTGGCTTCGCGCGCTCAGTTTTAACCTCTAGTCTATTGATATATTATTTATTTAAGCACATAAACATTGGTATAAGGAGGTATCGAATAGAGATGCGCCACATAAATCATTTGATTTGTCTGAGGGCTGGGATACTGCCCGGGTGCCTAAACCGTAGCAAGTGGTTATCTTAGAGGATCACACCTGCAGCCTTCAATCTGAGGTTCTGATCCCTAATGAAGTGGAGCGACGACAGGAGATGCAGTCCCATGGTATTCGGTGGCTAACGATTGGTTCGGGATACTGGAGCTCATGTGCACCATTGATTTGGAATGAAAGTTTTCCAACTCCCCTAGATGAACTCTCCGTGCCCACTGACCCGGTTAAATCGCCGGATATTCGCTTTTTGTCCTCTGACTTCCATAAACAACAATAATGCGGCGATAAGGCAGTGAGTAGGAGTTCCATCTCAGTGATTTTATGCACGTGGCCATGTGAAAGCATTTCGAGATGGAGACTTGTCTCTCCCTACCAAAGCATTTGATTGCCCTAACCTATAAACCATTATTTAGCCAGTAATTAGCATGCGATCAATTCAATGATCTCAAATCAAAAATTAACAATTCTCCATTGAAGTTAGACATTAACACCATTGGATGCTGGCTCAGTGGTCTAGTTGGTTAGGTGCTTGGCGCGAGACTGATAGGTCCTGGGTTTGAATCTCGCGGGGTGCGGGATCGTGGATGTGCACTGTTGAGGAGTCCCATACTAGGACGAAACGGCCGTCCAGTGCTTCCAGGTTTTCCATGGTGGTCTAGCTTCAATTGACTCATGATTTCAATCTGTGAAATTTCTAAAATCTCCACAAATCCCTTCTGATAATTCTTCATAACTTCATAATGATTTATTATATTTCTTCTTCTATACATTTTAATTGTTTACTTTTTGACTTTCTTTTCTTTTTTGTTTTAATTTTCAGTCATTAAAATCTTTAATTAATGAATATCATTCTACAATCTCTTATTTATTGAATCAATTGAATCCTATTCATGAAACTCTTACGAATCTATTACAGAATATACTTATTCTACCAGAAAATATTCTTCATTTATTATTCATTGATTTATATGAAGAGAATAAATTAATGAATCAAGAAACTAATGACGTTACCATAACAACTAAATGGAATATTTATCTTGAAAATTGGTTAATTATATCCAAACAATTAAAATTAAATTCATCAATTAAAAATTGGATATTGACATTATTTCATAACATTGAAAAAGATTATTTCATACAATTAAAAAATCAATTATTCAATTCTATTATTTATTCATCATCATCATCATCAATGAAGAAGAATAAATTATATTTACCGCCAATTTATTTAGCGCCTAATTTAAATGTATTTTTTGTTTTAATTTATCATTGTTTAAATAATTTATCAAAATTATTATTAACTATGAATAATGAATTATGTAATCATAATCATAATAATAGTGAAGAATTTAATAAATTAATTGAAATGTCATGTATTATAACAAAGTTAATTGATCAAATGAAATCAAACAATATTGTAAATCAGTTAATTGAACACTTCAAAAAATTAGGTAAGTGTAATATATATATATATATATATAAAATCTTTTATTAATAAATAAAAACATGCAGACTCTTCTGATAGATGATAGATACAGACTACTTGGTTGAGGTCCACATGACTATCGTAACCAATGGTTGGAAACTCTGAGTGACATGGTTCAGAATTGCTCATACTCATTGTCTTTCATGAAATTATGAGATTAAAATTACTTTATACTTTACCTTCTTCCTGTACTATATTCTTATATACAATCGTTCTTTTATATATTACTAGTATCGAAGTCACTACTTCTATTAATTCGGTGTTCATCTTACTGTGCTAATGAGTGAGGTGTGGTAACTTGGATCGATGCATATATGTGCTTGGTTCTTTGTTATAGCTGATTGACTGACTGAGAGTCTTCTGACTACTGTAAGCAACAATGCAAGCATTTTCGGGATGCGATTCTCTCCCTCGAAATGCAAAATGTTGCTTCAGGATTAGGTTGAATCGACACCTGAACTAATGGTAGAAAGTAAAGTAGTAAAACGTGTCGACTGCTTCACTTATCTTGAAAATCTCATCTTCCCTTGTGGTCTGGTGTGTGACGAAATCTCAGCACGGATACAGAAGGCTTAACTAGCTTTTGCCAACTTGCATCATTTATGGCGTAGGCGAAATATCCATCTACCACCCAAATGACGGGTTTACTGCGCAGCAGTTTGTTCCGTCCTGCTTTATGGCTGTGACACATGGCCCGTTACGTATACCCAACCACCAATAGAAGTGATCAAATAATTCTAAGTTTCCTTGTTGTAATTATAGAGATTAACTAAGAGGATTCGACCGTTGTTGCTACCGTGACGTGATGGTCGGGCTTGCCTATCGTGATGAACCAACCGAGCTATACTGGCTGGAACAACCGTTCCTCAAATTCCTACCATGCCGGACAGGTCGGTTGAAGAGCGGTAAGACTAAAAGCAACAAACCTAAGGTCTGAAGGCGAAGTCATACTACTGACTGTACAGAGGTGCGGCAGCAGTAAGATGTTTCCTTCAGACAACCAGCATGACAGCGATGCTGCCTTCCCACAATGAGGGATGGAGTTAGAAAAAGTCGACCCTAAAAATGCACACCTCGCCTTATCCCACGGATATTCGTTTCCGGCGGTAAGGTCTCAACAAGTGCGGAGCTAACACAAAGATTACCCACATAAAGGTCGTGTGTGACCGACCTCAAGCAGTTGTCCTTTGGGCACTGCGGTAACGCTCTCGGGTCACTAAGACCACTACTAATCCAGTTTTCTTTTCAAGTACCTCTACACCGCGCCCTTCCACAGTGTGAGCAACCGGAAAGTGATAACCGCCCTCACACCACTCAAGACCACAAACTAAGAGGAATAGTTCTGTATATTGACTGACTTGTTTCTCTTTTACATATGATAATATTTTGTTGTTGTTGTTGTTTATTTTAGATGAACCATGTATGACACGTTCAAATGCAATTAATTTATCATTAGATAATTTACGTAGAAATCAAATAGAAACTTGTTTACAATCTGTACGTAAACAAAATTCATTTACATCCATTGAACACAAAGAATCATTATCAATGAAAATGTATCAATTATCTTCAAAAATTCGTAAAATTGAAAATTCTATGAATGATGCCATTAAAGAAACAATGGAATATCAATTAAAAAACAATTCCCTTAACTGAAGAAAATCTTTATATATTTTGATTTTCTTCACTTCAATAATAGATTATGTAATTCTCTATAGTTGTTGTTTTTATTATTATTATTGTTGTACATTCGTTTTATTTTATATCATTTTTTTAATGTATAAATAGCCTGTACATTTGAATAACTTTTACATCCTTAATGTATTTGAGAATTCTTCATTGTTCTATACAGAGTTCTTATAAATTCTTCACCCCTCCGCTCGCTTTTCCCTTGCTTCTTCTCACCATTCGAACGTTTATCGTTACCAAATAAGTAGGCCTTCAAATGCCCTGGTACGGCCGAGAGTGGGGAGGGCCCTCTCTCGTTCTCAAAGTGTTCACACACGACCACGCGTACACAGCCTCTACCAGGGAAGTCCTAATCACTGCCTTCTCGCGGCATTACTGTTGTTTACGAAATTGAGAAGACGAGAAGCGAATGTCCGCCGCTTTAACCAGGCCGGTGGACACGGTGAGTACACCTAGAGGAGTTGGGAAACCCTGATTCCAAACCAATGGTTCACATGGGCTCTAGTATCCTGAAAGAATAAATGGCGTATTAACCAATCGTTGGTGACTGGCTACCATGTGACTGCATCATCTCACGATGATCCACTGTCTTGTGGGTTAGACCTTTAATTCAAAGGCTCGGGGTATGGTCCCCCAAGGAATTCAGAAGATTAGAATTTAGGAGAACACAAAGAGTGGATGCACGTGCGCCATTGCAAACGATTTTGAGCCATGTTATTCAAGGTCTCTAACCATCAGTTGCTATCGTTTCACGGATCCCAACCAGGTAGTCTACATGGATAGCTAGGAATAACGTTTTATTCAAAATCAGTAATTGAGATCGACTTTGTACTGTGTCATCTAACTCCTTGAACTATTGGATGTCGGGGGATTAACAGTTAATTCTTAGCAATCGAAATAACTTGGTCTCTGAATTATACGTTAGATGTGCTTTTTACTAGATTTAAACAGACCTTGTATTGAAGTCATTGAACATGTTTACTTCAGATTAAGTTATCCTTTCGTAATTATTCTCTATCGTTCTTACGAATATATACTTATTAAAATGTAGTGTAATTGTACCATCCTCTTGTTTGACGTCACAACATTTCGTCCAAAGTAGGTGGATAGTTTCATCCCTATAGATCAGAAAAGATAATCTGGATTCCCAAGAAACATAACGTACTCACTCTGAAGTTCACGACACTCAGCACATCTTTTCTGTTATTCTTGTGGATCCGTAGATAAACTTCTTGATGATTGTAACTTTTCATGTTTTTGAACTTGCAAGATTATGTTCACCCAGTCAGTATTTTATGGACTCAAATATTCTGTCATCTTACTTGTTGTGTAGAGCACGCACGCTGTAAAACTGAAATTTATTTCCATATCTTTTGTTTCACATTTTTGTCGGTACAAAATATCGGGTGAAACCAAATCGGATTTTCAAGGTCGTACAGTAGGTCAGACAAAATTGTAGGTATGCTATAATAAGTAAGTCATTCATCTAGCCTATGTTAACATATCTCTTTCAGAGTCAATGTGTCTGTTTGTAAATACTTTTATTTTGATTGGGTCAGTTGAATGTTTGAAACGCGAATGGTGAACAAACTGGACTATCTATCGTAACAACGTTCTGGTAACGGTAGTTCAAAAACAATTAAATGAATCCATCAGATTCATTAGAACTCCAATCACTTTAAAAGCAGCACTATAGCTTCGACCAAGTGTGATACTGAGGCCCTCACTTCTATCCAATCCAGCTCCATTGTCTCGTTTAATATGATTAAATGACAGCATTGTTGTTTCATTATGGTTTTAGGACGTGCGACATTTAGTTCTCAGTTTAAAAATTATAAAACTGTAACCAATTGTGATTCAGAATGGAAATATATGTGATCAAATTATCAACCCTCTTGTCTGTTATTAGATAAGTATGAATTGTTAAACATTATGAATTCGTACACCTTGGAAAACCTGGAAGCACTGGATGGCCGTTTCGTCCTATTGTAGAACTCCTCAGTAGTGTGCATCCATAGTGATATAGCTTTAAATGACTCATGATCTCAACTATTAAAATTACTATAATATCTGTAAAACCCCTTCTGATACTTCCTTATTATCATACGATGTGTGATTCGATAAAAATCTGCCAATCTTATAAATACATATTTACTTTTCTCTATAAATACGAGGTATAATGAAACAATCAACAGTTTTAAAATTTAATATACGAGGCTTCATGATCAATCGATCGATTTAATTCTAGGTGATCATGAATCTCAGGAATGGTTTCATTAAATTTATTTACGTATGTAATATCTACGTTCGTGAATAATTGAGGTTGGATTGCTCCAGCTTTCAATCGATTGAACTAGAAATGTTTATTTTTAGTATGTGTTTACAAAGTTAGTAGTATTGGAAATTGGGATATTTGAAAAGACACTCACGTAATTTTCAGTGGATGTAATAGATATGCTGAAGTAAAAAGGTGCATTGTAAAGCTTCCGTGGATCATGACATGAATAATTAGTTTAGCATAACGATAAGAATGGATTCCTCCTAACAACACAGTAGTCAACCACAAGTAAAATTGCTTCTTTCCAGTAACTTATGTCTCAATGTGTTGAGGAATATCAGAAGACAACATCTATAGGGAATTATTATTCAGCAGAAGATACAATTCTTTACATACATTTTCCACGTACTGATTCGATGTCAGAATGAACTACCCGGTAAGATTACTCCGAACACATAGCAACATGGATCAAAATACAAAATGGAAAATTTCATACCTCAGTGGCCTAAAATGTTAGCCTATATTTTAGTCACAGTTTTGAAACTAATAACTCCTTTATTTGGTAATGACTGGCCTGCATCAACACCTGAACTAAGGATAGGGAATGAAGTAGTCGACAACTTCGCTTATCTTGAAAGTGTGATTAGTCCTAGTGGGTTGATGTCTGACAAATTATCTGCACGAACCCAAAAATCTCGTCTGTCTTTTGCCAACTTACGTCACTTATGCGAAAGCGAGATATCCGTCTACCAATTAAGGGACGAGTATACTGCCCAGCAGTTCGGTTTGTTTTACTTTAAGACTGCGAAATGTGGCCATTAAGAGTAGAGGATGCTCGTCAGTTACCAGTATTTGACTACAGATGTATTAGAAGTGTTGCTTGCATCTGTTCGAATCACTGGATAGGTCAATAATGAAGTTGGATGCATGGTATTAGGGAATGATTTCTAGTTATGTCCATAACTAACCAATCAAATCCTTGCTTAAGCTCCCACCACGTCAATCTTGTCTGATTTGTCTGTAGACTATCTCAGTTGCATGTGACCTGCCAATTGACGGACATTATCATCCTATTGTATTAGTGTGACTCATTTTTTATTCATTTCGATAAGAAATCCAATATTGATCGGTGTGTTTGTGCGTTCCACTTAATGACTATAATTCCTTTAATTATTGTACTAATCTAATTGCTTTTACGCTTAGAAACAGATAAAGTTTAAAGCTAAGTTGTCCTTGTTCTGACTATAGCTTTCACATAGACTCTGGGATCGCCAGTACCGCGTTTACAGTTCTAGTAGTATATCTGTAGGACAAATTAAATCCTTCAATGATGGTAAGTTGGTTGATGAGGTTGTGAATCTTCATCGGCCGAGGTGGTTGAGCTACGTGTACACATGCCCAACCACCAATTGCCACGGCCTGCAATGCTGATCGGTTTCGGAGACGGATGGAAGAAAATTAGGGGCGGAAAAACCAAAATGTGGCATCGATCCCTAAAGTCGCTACCTTGTGGTGTAAGCCATGTTGGTAGATGCAGATTACTTGGTTGGAGTCAGCGCGACTATTATAACCGGTGGTTGTAGACTGTGGGTGGCATAGCTGAGAATCGGTCACAATAGAGTAGGTATGTGGACTATTTGTATTCCCTTAAACCGTGAGATTGAAGTAACTGCTTCTATGAATTTAGTGCTCATCTTGTGCTAATGAGGTATGGCAACTTGGACCGATACATCTATGTGTCTGGTCCTACGCTGTAGATGGATGACTGACTGGAAACAAAACAATGGAAAACATCAAATTAAGACTATACGGTGGTAATGGTATAATACTTCAGCAAGATACCTTCATTCGTTACTAATCACTAGCGATGAAACTCTTATATCCCGACGGGAATTATGAATGGTAACTTTTGAGAACTGTTTATGGTTACGGCGTAATGACTTATATGCCGTAATCATGTTCATCCAAACAGAAAAACATTAAAACTATTTATGGATCAATACCATACATAAATTTTGACTGTATAATTAGTAAGTAGCTAAACTAAGCATATTCATGTTACTCTTATTAAAAGCTTTATTTTGACTCACAGATTATTATTATTATACGGTTTATCGTTCTTCAGTTATGCCCAGTCTATTAATTACACTCTCTCACATTCACAGCCATTTTTAGCTAGATCTTGTTCAAATGTTGTTTTCTATTTTGTGGTGAGATGTGGTTTGTTTGGTTTGTATATAAACCCGTTTGTTTGAAATACATGATTCATATTCCAAAGGCTGAGGCTTGTGTTCTGGACTCAACAGGCAGGAAGAATGGCCGATAAACACTTTCGACTGCTCGTACGGGTTCGCGCGTTATTATTCCGGTCGATAAATCACGTTATATATTAATAGAGCACAAAGTCACAAGTTATAAGAAAAAATGAATGAGTAAAACCCTAACTGCTAATTACTTATAGCTTGTATAGTGTTTAGTGGCTCGAAGGTCTGACTCTAGGTAGATGGTTTGCTACTTGTTATCGAAATAAGTCATGTAAGAGAATGGATTTCGAATACGTATATTTCACACGGTCATTAATTGAAAAGTGAAGTAAAAACAAAACGACGCTCGATGGAGAAGGCGAGTGAGCCAACACGATTTAATCAAGCATGAATCTACATTTATGGTCAGACAGAAATAAGTTACAGAAGTGATGAGTAAAATAAGAAATGCACGCACATACGCTTACTTAAAAAGTCAAGGTTGATAAGTGAATAATTACCAAGGTTAAAATGTGACTCAAGAAGAATGAACAGATTGATTTGTTCAGAGGCTAGAATAACCTATGTGGGCTGGACATAGTACCAGCCCCTACAAGTATGCCACTTAGTAGGGAAGATACAGTTTAGATCTATTTACATTAATTTAACATTTTTTTACTTCAGGCTGTAT